AGATGTCTGTATTTATATTTCCAATGATTGAGGCATGTCTCTCAGAGGAACTCATGAAGGCTTGGCAAAGAAGCCCCCTCCATTATGTCAAGATTGATGCTAATGATTCTACTTAAACTAGAGTTGACCTAATTATGGAGTTTCTCCAAAAGGAAGCTGCAGCAGAGCAAGACAGAGCCTTAGCTGGATCCAAGTTAGGACTTAGATCTCTGAAACAGGATAGAAACGTGGGCAGACAATCACATCCTGCTAAGATACCTACGGCCTCTGGACTATTTGCTGGACGTGCCCAGAATTGCATCTTTTGTAATAAAGATCATAAAAACACAGAATGTCTTGCTGCGCGCAGAATGAGCATTAAAGAAAGAAGAGAGCGTATTAAAAACGCTAAATGTTGTTTCTCCTGCCTCCAACCAGGTCATATCTCTTCTAATTGTAGAAGGCGCATAACTGAATGTAATCGATGTAAGAAGAAGCACCTTGATATTTTATGCCCTCTTAATGCTACTGCACGAGAGTCAGCGGATGAAGACAAGGAACAGGTGGAAGACTGTGACGCTTCTCCTACAGTTGAAAACGGAGTTTCATTCTCCGGTCTTAGCGCTTCGTCTCTGATTTTGCTACAGACTCTGAAGATTAAAGTCGAAGGTGCGACTTCGGCGAAAGTAGTGCGTGCCCTCCTTGACACAGGTTCCCAACGATCCTATATTTTGTCTAAAACTGCCCAGGATCTCGGACTATCTCCCATTGGCCAGGAATCACTTAAACATGTGGTGTTTGGAGGTTATACAAGTGAAAGTGTCCACCAAGAATACAGAGTCAATTTGGGTCATGCATCGGGGAATTTTAAGATGGTTGCGAAGCTTCTTGACTAACAAAAAATCTGTGGTAACCTACCAAGATTGAGCCGCGGGCCATGGTTGAAAGAACTCAAAGCCCGCAAAATCTGGGTTCCTGATATTGGAAAGGATGACATGGAAATTGAAATACTTCTAGGATGCGATGTATTGGGATCTATTTTCATGATGAAATCTTGTGTGTTGTCAAATGGCTTGACTGCGTCGCAGACGCGTTTCGGATGGACTTTAATGGGAGAATGTCAGCCAGGTAGTGACGTTTCACTCGCTCATCATGTCACAACGATGACAATTTCGGAGAGCAGTGTAACCAATCTGTGGAATCTCGATGTTCTTGGCATTATGGATCCTATTGAGGTTAAACAGAGAGATCAGAGAGACGCACTGGCGCGTCGACATTTTCTAAAAACAGTCCAACATTCTGTTTCAGGAAGATATGTTGTTTCCCTCCCGTGGACTGTAGAGAAAGCTAAAATCGCGGACAACAGGGAGGTTGCTATGAAGAGATTATAGAACAGACGACTAAGAAATTAATCTCTTTGAATCTTTATGAGGACTATGATGATATTTTCCGAGGCTGGTTGGAAGATGGGGTAATTGAGAAAGTCCCAGCTGAACAACACGACGCTGAGGCCATCTACCTGCCTCATCGTCCTGTGGTGAAACTCTCCAGTGGGACTACGCCTATCAGGCCTGTCTTTGATGCTTCTAGCAAGGTCTATAGATCCCCATCTTTAAATGACTGCCTTGAAAAAGGACCTAACCTCATAGAGATGATTCCCAACCTTATGCTAAGGTTCAGAAATGGCAAGTTTGGTGTCGTGGCAGACATTAAGAAAGCGTTTCTTCAGATTGAGGTGAATGAAAGGGACAGAGATTACCTGCGTTTTCTGTGGTATTCCCAAAATGGAGAAAAGACAGAAGTATTCCGACATAGACGTGTCGTTTTCGGCGTTAACTGTAGTCCTTTCATTTTGGGGGCAGTAATAGAATACCACCTGTCTAATGTTCGACCTGAACATAAACCGTCAGCTCAGAGGTTGCAGAAATCCTTTTATGTGGACAATTTAGTCACAAGCGTGAACTCTTTTGAAGAGTTAATAGATCTGAAATTGGCCGCAACGTCCATCATGGAAAATTCTCGGATGGAGCTAAGCCGTTGGGAGCATAGCCTGGACGTGGCCTCCGATACTTACCCCTTTAAAAGAGCAGAGATATCTAAAGTGCTTGGTATATGTTGGGATAAAAGGGAAGATTGTTTGTCATGTGAAATTCCCGTAGCCATACCCCCCAAGATAACCAAAAGGAGTATCCTGTCCTGCTTAGCTCAGATATATGACCCTATTGGATTTCTGAACCCAATATTAATAAAGCCTAAAATTATATTGCAAAAGGTTTGGATAAAGCGCGATAACCAGTTGGGTACCTTTGTCGGGAATCGCGTGAAGGAGATATGCAGACTTAGTGATCCTGGAAATTGGAGATATGTGTTCCTAGCGAGTGCAATCCAGCTGATTTACCCTCCAGAGGATGCAGTCTCTCCCGACTGATACAGTCTACATGGTGGGAGGGCCCTTCCTGGTTAAAACTCTCCGAAGAATATTGGCCTTCCAGGTATAAAGACCTGAATGAAGAAGAAATCTGTGCGAAAAGAATGCTCGGAACATCAACATTAGCATATCAACAATTGATGAGCCTGCTGTGTCATGCAGAGGCAGTGAAGAATGGAAGGCCCATGACTTATGTCAGCGACAATCCGAATGATCTTGTGACAATATCACCTTCCATGTTTCTACAAGAACAGACAGATGTCGAGTTTCCCGAGTGCCAGAATATGGGATCTAATCCAACGACACAGAAACTACGCTATTTGAACAAGCTGAGGGAGGAGTTGAAATCACGATTCAGGAAGGAATATTTGTCCCTCCTGGTCCAGAGAAACAGACGCATTTACAATCCAAAACTCCAGGCTGGGGATGTTGTCCTCGTTGGTATGGACAATAAAAAGCGTAACTTCTGGCCATTAGCAGTGATCGAGGAGATATTATTTGGAAGAGATGGAGTGAATAAATTAGTGAAGGTGAAAACCGCAGTAGGAACCTTCCTAAGACCTATTCAGAAAATATATCCCTTGGAAATATCATCAACAGCAGCTTCTTCGCGTTTGCTGAACGATAAAGAGAAAACTGCAAAAATACAGACTAGATCGGGAAGAACCATTTGTAAACCCAACCGATTGGACGATTATTTGTGTTTTTCTGTGTGCCTAGATAAAAACAGGTGGGAGTGTGTGTGGAATGGTGGAGATCCATTATTCCGGACGCAGCCCAGACAGCTCAAGTGTCGACTGTAAACACGGCGGCGTCTGCCTGCATCAAAGGAGCCGCCAACATAAACATCAGAACACGGCTTGGTACCGACCGAGTCGGGTGTTTTCCACTGTCCTCTTAATATGTATTAAATAAAGTTAGTTAGAAGGAGATTTTTACCCCCTCCTTTCTGCTATTTAGTGATCTTATTTAAATCCTTGCAACAGCCCACAAAGAATCATCACAGCGAATTTTTCTACCGAATCTCGCTTCAGTGTTTTGTGAACCGACTACCCTACATTTCTACACACTAGCCTTTACCAACAAGATTCTGTAGATCAAATAAAGAAAATGCCTAATCACATAAAAGAAACAAAAAGGCACGAACCAAAAATAAGACAATTCAAGTCAAACCAGTTGGGAGGGTCATCACATGGATGCACCAGGTGTGGCAATTCAAATAATCATGATTGGAAAAATTGTCCAGCTATGAACTCGTATTGTAGTAAATGCAAGAAAAAGGGCCATTATGCCAAAGTATGTAGATCAGAAGCCATAAATGAAATAAAATCAGAGATAGCTTTTTTGGGATCTGTAGAAGATAATTCCAAGAAATGGATAGTACCAATTAAGGTAAATAATAGACAAATTAATTTTAAAATTGACACCGGAGCTGATGTCAACGTGCTCCCCCTACAATATTATTATCAAAGTTTCCAAAGAATAAAACTGGAAAAATCTGATAAAATATTACATGGTCCAAATGGAATACCCTTGGAAACAGTTGGAATGATCCACGTAAAACTTCAAAATAAAGGCCAGCACTTAAACTCGAAAATATACATTGTTGATAAACTAAAGCAGCCACTTCTCTCTGGGGAGACTAGTGAAAAATTAAACATTGTGAGAATTATTCAGCAATTG